CTTCCCAATGCGTTTCAGACCATCCGCAACAGTGGATTTGCCAACGCCTAGCTTTTCTGCAATCTCTCGAACTGTTTGGGATGGGTCAGCCTCCACAAACGCCTTCAAATCCTCGTCAGGTATTGCTTTAGGTCGACCGCTACGAGGTTCATCTTCAAGGCTGAAATCTCCAGAACGAAATTTGTCGAACCATTGTCGCACGGTGCTTTCTCCAACACTATTGGGCCCCACACCTGGTTAATTTGTCGAGCTGTCTCGACTGCGGATTGACCCAATTTGTAGTTGAAGAAAAATATCGTCCGAAGTTGCTCTTTTGACATGCTTCAAAAAGTCTTGGGAAAAGGGGTTTATCAAGCAATGGTGAAACGGCAATTATACCATCAGATAGCGCAAAAAATTCTCTTCAGGATGTACTACTGAGACGCAAGGGAGAATGAGTTTTTAATCAGCAATGAATGTACAAAAAATAGTAACACAAAACGCTGAGAACTTTCCGGACAACCTAGTACCTTCTCGATGAATCCCTTACCAGAATCCTGACGATGCTAGAGCATCACGAAGGGAGAACTTGGAGGGGAAGGCAAAGATTCATGAGGAAATGACAGGGTATGACAGCTTTTGAATGTAGTTCTGTTAACCTAACTATGGTTTCTTTTTTCCAGATTCAACGTGGTCTACCAGCAAGGGCCATCTCAAGACGAGGCAGAATCCCAGGAGAATGTCCCGCTACGTGACTGACAAACCTACATAACAACACTCATGTTTTTGTTTTTGCTTTCTTATTGTCTATGAAAGAATATTTCCAATAAACATTTCATTGATATTGCTTCTCAGTTCATTGATCTTTCTGCTTTTGTTGTGAAGATATGTGGATGACAGGATGACCTCTGAGTCTCTCTCTCTCTCTCTCTCTCGTCTCTCTCTCTCTCTCTCTCTCTCTCGTTAATGAGGTCACTTCGCAGCTAGCTACCAAGTTTCCGCACTTCATTAAAGCTGCCTGGCAGCAGGTGCGAGCCACCCCTCAATTAGGTGCGATCGTGCATTGCTGACCCGGGGCGAGCCCAGAGAGCACTAACGACCAAACCATGAGCGCGTACTTTTACAAGTGAAGTCTAGGTCTCAGATTATGATTAGAATTTGCTTTCAAGGGAGTGTGACACCTCAACACGAACGTCACACCTTTTCAGAGCGGAAGCGGCTTCGCTGAAGTATATTGCGAGCACAGGTACATGGCCTCACACAAAGCAACAACCAAACCTTCTTAAGAAACTGCTCCCTAGAAAACTTCTTAGAAAGTGCTCGAAACGAACCATTGAATTGATCAGCCCTATTGTGGGAGCTCGCAAAATATCGAAGCGCGGAAGTATAAGCTCCACAGGCTCGATGTGCTGACGAGCCTTCCCCCGAGTTCATCCTCTGCTTCTAGCTCTTCGGAAGATCTCATAAGAGCAGCATATGCCATCTATAGGATACATTCTTACGAGGGAATTTTCCCTCGAAGGGAAGTATGGCGTCGGTCCCAGAAGACCTGCAGCTGTCACTTAATAAGTGCGAATGTAACATAAACCTGCGAAATAGAAATAATAAGGCAGAGTGAGCAGTGGAAGGAAGAGTCCGGCGGGTCCTCTAATGATGTTCGCCCTATGGCGTTCTGGGGGGAGGGGGCGCCTGACGACGTCGAAAATGAACAATCATGTGTGACTTCTGCCCCTAATAGGGTCCTTCTGACCCTTTTGACCCCCCTGACCTCCCCGGAATCGCAAGTCCTCGCCCGCGATCACCTGATCTCCACATCCAACCCTGGGAGAGCCGGCGACCTCGCCGGCGGTCCTTCGAGAAGAAGCAGCTGGGGGAACTCTGCCTACACCAAGGCTTCTTCCAAATGAAATCGAGGCAGTCTTGCGGAGCTCTAGCTTCAATAAACATTTTTCCATTCTCGACTCTGTTGCTCGCCGTTTGAACAAACTGTGACTGGCCTGCTTTCTTTTGCAAGGTGCTGTCCGAAGTGCACCACATATGTGTCAGTCGACGCGACTTGACTCCATTAGAGGAGGCCAAACCGAAACGGTTCTTCCTTATTCTTCAAGATGCTGATGACACCGCTCAATAGTTTCACAAATTAGCGCCTCCGTACAACGCACATCTAGAGGCTAGGCAACTATCCAGGTAGACGCTGTTTTCAACTTGTCGAGTACTTTGAGCTTTTCGAAGGAGCTTGCTACTTTTGTCACAACTCCTTGACGAGCCGTCTCGCTCCAGTAGCAATGCGTTCTCTGGCGCTGCAAACGCCGATCGGCCATGCCTTTTCATAGCGAGCTTTTGCGGCTTCTCTTGTTCCTCTAGTCCACGTTCAAGGCTCTTCATGGACATCGTCATCTCTTCAAGGCATCGTCGTATGTTCTTTCGAAGCCGTAATTTTCTATCCGTTCGTGCTTCCTTATTCCATCAGTGACGTATACGAATTCCGTCCAATCCATACAGCGGTCGTATGCGAGCCTCCAACAGCTTTCTCCCGTGCTCTGCATTGGCAAATCTTTTCATCTGATGCCGTGGTATGAAATTCTTGTGATGGTGGATGAAGTGTATGAATTATCCAGATTGGAGTTCATTCGCACACTGAGTGAAGAAGAGCACATCGAACCTGCGGAACCGGGAGATAGCAGTTACCCCAATCCGACAATAGTTCATCGTTCTTATGAACGAAATGTTGTCATAGTCATGATGAAGTACCAGCTCGTGAAGTTAGATGCCCTGCTGGAAGAGGAACAGGAGTCTTGCGAGACAGCAGAAGCGGAAGTCCCGTCGCAATACCGCTGTTGAGGATGAAACTATGCGTCAAGTGAGAGAGGCGTGCTTTGACCTGCACGATGACATTCGCGCCAGAACGAGGAAATCGAAGACTGCATGCAGAGAATGAAGGGCTTCAGCGATGCGATCATGAAAAGTGCACGAAGAATGCTGAGGGATCCAAATATATCATCAATGAATTGAGGAAAGTTTCGGAGCGTAGCAAGGAAGCCACGCCACAAATCACAAGATACGCAGAAGAGTGGAAAAGGCTCACGGCACAAATCGAGCAGCAGACGAAGGAACTGCAGGATTGGAAGGAGCAAAGAAAAGAAGACTCACGGTCGAGCAGTCCAAGAACGGGTTGCAAAAGGAGACATGGAGGTTTCGAAATCCCGCCTCGGAATTACAGAGGTATGAAAGAATACTGGATCGGAGCGAGAAAGAGCTGACGGAAATCGACGATTTTCTCAGTCGAAATGTGGTCAAAGATAGACGTTTCGGCAGCAGGAACATGAAGGAAGGTGAGGGAGGAATGACCTGCGTGTATTGTAAGGTAAGAGGAAATCACTACTCCGACGCGTGTCCGGAGGTGCGCTCCGTATCCAAAAGGATCGAGTTGTTGAAATCAGGAAAACAGATGTATGGTATGCCTCGAATTCCACTTTGCACCGAAATGCTCTAGGAACGCACCATGCTTCTACTGCAAATCAGGTTAATTATCGCGACGACTTTCGACCATCATTGCAGTATTTGCAGGAGGCCCGAAGAGTTCGCCGACAAAATGAGACGCAGAGAAGAAATCAAAGTTCTGATCGATATGTGTGAAAGGGCACTGGAAGCTCGAAGCCCTGTTCTTCAAGATGGTCCGGTTCGAGACGAGGAAGGCCAGAGCACGATCGTGAGCCTTCGCGGAGATCGCAAGCTGATAAGAGGAACAGCTGATGAGGAGTGGTAGTGACTCGATTCACGATAGTGCAAGTAACGACTCACGGCGGCGCGGAGTATACTGAATTATCTTTCAGTATCTCTTAGGAATTCACTCAGTATTTTTCAGGAGCGGCTTCGTAGAAATGTAAGCATTTTAACATCAATGTGAAATGTTGATCAACGTTGTACCAGCTTTCCCCCTACGCAGCACTTTTCCCAATGGATAACATTGTTATAAGAAAACGAAGCCTTCTTAAGCAGGCTGAGATTAACTTTCACCACATTTTGTTCTCTCATTTCATTCTCATGTATAGTGCTTCAGAAAGATATTGCATTTTCATAACTGTCACGCAGCAGGCACGAGCACGATAACTCCATCAGCTTGGGAAGCTGATCAAAGTAGGTTAATTTAGTATTAATTCAACTGTAAAAATTTGCATTGTTCACTACCTGCATTTACTCAGAAAAGCGTTGTGATAAAAGTTTAATTACCCAAGTTTGAGGTCTTGTACGAAGTCCCTCGTGGCACAGTTGTTTGTTCTCTAACTAACTATACTCGTATGCGACCCTATTTAGTCCTGCTTCAATTAGCTTTGTGAACACGGTTCGTAAAAGCTCTACATGCCTTTCTCTTGTGTGCGTACAAATCATTATGTCGTCAATATAACAGAATACTTCGTTTCCCAGTAAGTCATGCAATACCGTATCCATCATTCATACTGCTGGTGATGTGCTTAGCCCGAACGGGGTGACTCTAAACTGGAACAGGCCTTCGGTTGTCGCAAAGGCTGTTTTCTCTCTCGCTTTCTGCGTAAGCGGTATCTGCCAGTACCCGCTGTAAAGGTCCAGTGTGGAAAAATACTTTTTACCGGCCATGCTTTGTAGCAGCGCATCTATCGTTGGCATTGGGTAGGCGTCCTGCCTAATGCACTTGTTTAAGCTCACGATAGTCAACGCAGAGCCTCAAACTACCATCCTTCTTTTCTACCAATACTATAGGAAAGGCCCATACAGACGCGCTTCTCTAACTCCCTCGATACAAGATCGTCTAGCATTTCCCTCAACTTAGCTCTCATCGCCAGGAGGAACTGGTCTCGCCTTTAACTTTATAGGAGGATGGTCCCCCGTGTCTACATCCATTTCTAGATCATTCGTGGCTGACAGTTCCTGATTACACACAGCGAATGCTTGCCCATTTTCGTCTAACAATTTCCGTATATCCTCAGGAATTGTTCCACCAGACATATTCTGGGCGATCTGTTCATATAATTTCTGCGCCTAACCTTCCTTCTCGACTTTAGAAGTTCGTCTAACACCACTGGCTCTAAATTTTCCCATCCTTCTTTCCATTTCTCCGTACTCCATTGACCAATTTCTTCACCTTCTTTCAGCATCATAGGCTCGCTTCCCTCATTGATCACAGGGATTGCACACTTCCGGTTCTCTATCTTAAATACTCCTGCAGCTATTCTTTCTGATAGAGCTCTACCACTCATTTGAAGGGAAATATGTGTTTTGAAGGCACACTGAAGTTTCGAAGGTGTATCCTCACAATGGCACAGAAGGAGTCGATTTTTCGGGTGGGTCAGAGGGTAGCGCGTCTGTGACCATCTAAAATATCTCCTGAACTAGCGGGTCTTCAGGAAAACTGTAAAGCTTATTGGAAAGAGAAAAGATAGGGCGGTTTCAAGACGATTTTAATCCTGATGAAATTGCGTTCGAAATAAGTAATCCTCGTGTGAAGCATAAAAACCCGCTTGCCATTTACCCCTAGCCGATCCGAAACCCATCCGAAATATTTCACGAACGGGGAAACATTCAGATTGCAACTGGGTAGAAAACGCAACAGTAGGAACATTCCCGTTGCATGCTGCTAACCATTCATCAAAAGCCGCGCCCCTCAAAGAGATATAACCCCCCGAAAAGACCCCAGGACGTTGGCAGGCCCAACAAACGCTCCAATGACGTTTTTCCAATGAAAGCGGTCGCAACGTTGCGATCGATAATAGCCAAGTATAGAACGATATACTGCCGCCTGGTTATCCATTTTTTCATTTGGCTCCGCATTTTTTGTATTTTTCATGTTTCGCTTTGTTGTGTCGTGCATGTTTTCATCCCCGTCACCATTCATTGAATGCACATCTGGGGCCTGACATGACCTTGGGGCTATTTTTTTCACCAATTTAGCTTATCAATGATCACCATTAGTCGCTGTTTCGATTGTGTTCCTTGTTACAAGTTGCATGTCATACATGGTTGTCGAACGAGGAGTTTTATTTTGAATCCTAAGACAAAATTGTAGGTAATGCGAGGCTGTTGTTCAGCCTCATATTGCATGAGGCTGAAACAGCCTATTATTGCCTGGATTTTAGAGCAGAGTCCGCCTTTCGAAAATCCAGATTCCATTTCAGGAAGCCATTTGTGGTGAACATGCATCTGGTTGTCAGTTAGAGCAGGAGGGGGGGGTCGTAACTGGACCCTCTTCGAGGGGGGGGTCGTACTCACACCGCCATTTCGCACATCCCCATGCTGTACCCTGTCCTTCGTGCTACCGTTACTTTTCCAGAGTCGCTTAATCCTTGCATGGACTCATTCGTTGGCTTGGGGAACTTGATATGAACTCCCAGTTTTTCCAAGGCATTCGTCCCAAGCAACACTTCTTGCCCTTTTTCCTTGGAAATATAGAACGCGATTTCCGATTCTGTACCTCGACATCAAACCCACTTTTCTGCGCTCTTTCCAGCAGTCCAACTGGGACAATACTCACCATTGACCCTGTGTCAATAAGCGCCGGAAATGTTCCATGTAGCATCTTTACTGAAGCTGATGACTTTTCTCCGACAAGATTTGCTACAGAAGACCGTTTCTCTGACCTTATTCCCATTGACTGGGCTTCCCGCACAATGTCAGATATGCGGTCTGTTTCCTTCCTACCGTTTGATCCCGTTTTCCTCTCTTTGATGTTCCTGACTACGGGCCTTCCTAGTGGACAGTTCCTTGCAATATGCCCTAACTTTGAGCAGTTGAAACCGGGGAACGGTTAGGACTCCACGAGAGGTCAGCCTGCCGCCGCGACGCGGCGGAGGAGAGGCGGGCCCCGCGATGTTTTCGCTGATAATTTAGAGAATACATCAGCAATCTACAAAAATTCACTTTAGGTGAATCCTTCTTTTGCACTCAATTGTAAGGTATTGTAAGGGCCTAAGATTTGCGGCCAGACGGGAAAAGTAGGTAGTATTAAAGAAATACAGCAATCCGTTGAATAAATACAGCTGCCATTCAAAAATATTGACGTCCCATTGAATATTCTGGTTTGGCAAAATGCCAAGCAGATTTGCGTGATGCCAGAACTATGTGAAGGGACCGGGATCTTAATCGCACGACTGTATGGGTCTCGTCCAATCACGCAGCAATCGCCGCGCGCGGCGAGGCGAAACATGGCGGCCGTGACCTCTCGTGGAGTCCTAACCTACACCCGTTGAAACATTTGCGGGTTTCAGATTGCTGCTTCCTTTTGTCCGGGTACACTCTCTCTTGATCTATGGCAGGCAGCTTATAGGATGACTTAAACCCATCCCTTTCCTTGTGACCTTTATATCCATCTGCTGTTCTCCACCCACTACCTTAGAGATACCCCTCCGCAGCGTTCCACACATTGTTCTCGATTACTGCTACAGAGAATGGCTCTTGATCCGTACGCTGTACCTGCTTTCCATAGAAATGGGCCTGATAGACCGCTTACAAAGGAACCTAACAGGTCGATGCGACCATTTGGAATGAGGTGTATATATATGGACGTGTCTTGAGCCAAATCCAAATCTGCCCTCGGAATTTGCGGAACGATTCTCTGAAGGGAGTTCGGATTCGGACCATTTATATCTCTGCTCTGTTCGCAATAAGTTGAGAACGATAAGTGCATGCGGCAAGCGCCCGATGGCACAGTGGACAACCGCACAGCTTCAGAGACACAAGGTCGCATGTTGGATTCCTTGACTCTCGAAAGTTTTTGCTTTTATTCAAAACACTTCATATGAGTCCCTAAAACACTTCTGTTTGGCCAATTTACCTAGTTCTTTAATTGTTTGACATCAGGAGCAAGCAACTCGCCTTTTCTGTTTCCTTTCAAGAAGTTTTATTATGAGGATATCCGTTTATTAAAGCTTGCAGTAAGAAATGAAGATCTTATGGTTTGAGAGCACATGTGGTATTCCTCCACGAAATGGTGGAAACAAAACAAGCTCTCACAATGAGCACAGCGAATACAAAAGTACGGCACTATTCAACTATTACTACCCCAATTTTCCGGGAAACAGGCCGGATCAGAAAAATTTTGACTATTTGGGGTAGTAATAGTTGAATAGTGCCAGAAGTACCCACACACGGTACAGTTACAGTTCTCCACCAGTTCAGAGAGAAAGCGGTGATGAATTTTTTTAATTTTGAACGAAATCCTGTCCACGTGTTCTGTGCAAAATTACCCGATATGGTCAGCACCCATGATTATGATCTACCAACACGTGGCATTCCGCACGAAAAACAGCCAGTTGTTGCTTTCTTGTTCTGTCGTAATGTTGTGCCCGAAGCTGGCGTATCCGTTGAGGGAAATCAGAGAACTAGGTAAATTGGCCAAACAGAAGCGTTTTAGGGACTCATATGAAGTGTTTTGAATAAAAGCAAAAATTTCGAGAGTCAAGGATTCCAACATGCGACCTTGTGTCTCTGAAGCAGTGCGCCTATCCACTACGCCATCGACCGCTTGCCGCATGCAGTTATCGTTCTCAACTTGTGCGAACAGAGCAGAGATTAAATGGTCCGTAACTCCCTTCAGAGAATCGTTCCGCAAATTCCGAGGGCATTTGGATTTGGCTCAAGACACGTCCACATATATACATCTCATTGCAAATGGCCGGATCGACCTGTTGGGGTTCCCTTGTTAGTAGTTGAACGTGTTCTGGCCACTCTCTCACGTTGTCCAATAAAATCTGTGCGTACTCTAATGATCTCTCCGCAATAGTACAATCGGGGTTCGCTTTATGCGCAAGTTTTTCCAGTACGACACAAAACTCCGAGATCGACTGGTTTGATCTCAATTTCAAACTCCTTAGCTCGTTTAAGGCCCTCATTCTAGCAGCTGTAGAGTCACTGCATAATAGCCTCTCCATCTCTCTTACAACTGCCTCAAAACCCTCTTCCATTACTTCCTGAGGGATGGTCATAAAAACATTTTTCGCCTCTCCTCTAGGTGGTCGTCACCGAGAATCTCGAGTAATGCCTTGTCTCCATACCCCAGAGGCATATACTTCCTCTTAAATCTACGTAGAAACTCTTTAAAATTCTCTTTTGATTTCCCTCGGAAGACTCCCGGGTCAGCACAGCTACTCGCTTGTAAAAATTTCAGGAAATTATCCAAGTATTGCTGACCTGCTTCCTTTGGCTCCACGGCCGTCTTGCAGCGATCCAAACGAGGCCTCAAGTGCTGCTCGGAGGCTTCCCACGCGACTCCGATCTGACGCTCGTGGTGTCATCTGCAATGTCTGATCTACATTGCCATGTCGCAACTCAGTTGCCTTGATTGTTCTACTGTCCGGTTCCTCACCATCCATTTCGTCATCTGACGCATCGCCTGGATTTCTCTTCATTTTGACGATGTCTCGCACCTGCAATACATCAGTGTTCAGCATGCTGCAAATTTCTGCCAGCAGCTCTCCGTCTCGCTCTACCACTCTCAAGAAGTCGCTCCAATCATCTGCCGTCTCTATCCCCTTCTCCTGTAGTGACGCAGTTATTGCTCTCCCAAAACTCAGGTGGGTCTCCGCGCCTTTCCTTACTATCTCTAGCGCCTCACACGCCTTTTCAATATGACCCGCTACTGATTTCTCTACCACCTCTCTGTGTTTCGCCGCGACTCGAGCCCCCTCTAGATCACTTTTGATCCTTGGGCCTATCTCTTTCACAGCCTCGATCGCCTTTCCTATCTCCTCTCTCAGCATAGTAACTATCTCTTTACCGTT